AAAAAAAAAAATGAACAAGTGAGTAGGGCTGCAAATAAGCCGAACCGAGTCGAGCATTGGCCTTATCGAGTAGGATTGGTTTTTTTTTTAACTGCTCAAGCTCGACTCGATAAAAAATTACAATCGCTCGAGCTCGGCTCGAGCTCAACTCGAAATCAAAATGCTCTAGCTCGGCTCGAAAAATTTTTAAGTGAAAAAATAAAATTACCATTAAGCATCTATGCTATTGTAATATATAAGGGTATCTCGAGCAGCTTGACAATGCAAAATATGGGCTCGAGCCGCTCGAGTTCAGTCAAACTCGAGCTCGAGTCGAGCTTTGACTCGAGCGCTCGCGAGCCGCTCGGTTCGTTTGCAGCCCTACAAGTGAGATAAAGATTTATCATATTATGTGGAATTTTCCTATTAAGGCTTCATTTAATCATACTGGCTATAAAATGAAAATCTAACCAAGGAAGACCCACAATGAAATGATGACATAGTAGAAGATTATTTAAGTAGTTTCTGCATCAGCTTATACCAGAAATATGTTGCAAAAAATAAAATAATGATTGAAGAGAATTCATGATTCTAAATAATTCATATATACAGTCACCATGTAAAATGCAGTGCCATAAAAAACAGGCGGCAAGAAATTGCTCTCAACTTTCAACAGATTTAATTACCTTCCAAATCAATCGGTCGTCCATCCTTGAAAAACATTCGTGCCAGCTCCATCTGAGAAAGAAGTTGCTTATAATATTTAAAATCAGAACAGGCATGTGTATGTGTAACTTCTTAAAAGGCATCTCTTTCCCATATAATATCATGCCGAGGTAGTGAATCGAACTAATCTTTGTAACTCTTGAATTGGATATATAAAGGTGCATTAAGCTCAAGGATGAAACAACTGTTATGAGTATTGTTAAATGCGAGGGAACATGGTGCAGTCACACAAATGATATACACCCAATTTAAGAGAGAAGTAGAGACCTTCCTAAGCGCCAAATGTAGGTTACTAAAATCAATTGATGATAAGAGGAGCTCACTAGCTAGGCATATAGAGTGTTCTTACTCATCCAAATTCATCCATGTGGAACAATATGTAAGTGACATACTTCAACAACTCCAGGCAAATACCAAGGCACGGAAATTATCTTCTTTTATTTATTTTTTTTCTTTTCGTGTAGTGAAGTTGGAATGTTAATTGAACAGAACTTCGACTCGCACGAAACACAGCAAAAGAGTACCATATGCCAGTCATAAGTCAGTGAAGCAAATTCAACTTATCCTATGATCAGAACTATTACCTAATACCTACATATCTAAGTTCTCGTTCAAAATGTGTTGCCGGCCAAATCAGTTTCGAGCACAACGAATTTTTTTCATATAGACTCTATCTGAAGGTAAAATTTGAAAGTTTCTTCTATATACCTCACTAATGAGACCCTTCTCAAACTCAATCCAGGCAGTAGGATGCTTGCATTCAAGAAGTTCCTTCATCGACATTCTGAATGGCGGCACCAAAATTTCGAGAGCAAATCATATCAGAAACAAGCACGGTTAACACATACAATTTAGACTACCTAAGTTTCACAGGGAATAACATCAATTTATAGGAGGGCATAAGCTATCATAAAATCTTGAAAACATTTTAACACTTTCTATGACCATGCTTGACCTTGGAATAGTTGAATGATTTTGCTATTCTCGTATGATTCTCAGCCAAAGCTCATGCCTCACTCAAAGACTCAGAACAGACTACGCATAGTGCACTCTAGACAGACCCACACTGCATACACATAATTCTGAACCATTATACTGCAGCTGAAAGGACCACGAATCGTGCCACTAGTTATGATGCCACTACTTTACAAGAAACATACATGTTAAAATGTGGAACCATGATAGACAGCTATAAGTATTGTCCACCATTGAAGTACTTTCCGCACAAAATTGCTTAAACATGGGGTGAAAGAAAAACAAACAACAAAATATTACACACAAACATAAAGCAACTCACATGAGTTTGTCCCACTAAAGATGCTCCAAGGAAGCTAAACTATCTCTTTTCTATACTATCAACCAGATCGAGGACGAACATAGCACATTTGCCATAAATCGATTTATTTCTTCCAACCAAAAGGACCATGTTACCAATTGGTTTAATCTCGCTTATCCCACTCAGAATCAGAAACATACTACATTACAAAGAATCATGACTGATTGAAGAGCCGAAGATTGAAATAATTGCATCTGGGTAGCCAACACTAGTTGAACTATTGCTTAATCAATTCTTATGCAAATTCGAAGGATTCAAATTAGTCTGTAAAGAGAGCGAAAGAAAATGGTAGTTGGTGAGAATACCCGAAGAATGGTGGGATATGGTGATAGAAAGGGTCGCGGACTATAGTATCCATGATGTCGAAAAGCAGTATGGGCTTTCCCGAATGAGAATTGCTTCTGACAGACATTCTCGCCGGAATGTTAGCTGAAGAAGAATATCGAGATGCTGTTGGTGGTGTTGGCGGACGCCTGTCCAGTTTGATAATCGGAAAGCTGCTCCACGGCAATCTTTGAGCGCCCATAAACCGTCCGGCAGCGATTCTTCTGTCCTTTCTTTTCTATGAGAGGCTCATTTGAGTTTTTCGCCCTAAGAGTGCAAACAAAATTTTGCAATATACTGTGTTACGCACGAGATAGACGAAGAAGATGATGAATAATATAAAGCGTGAAATACAGATGATAGATAATAATGAATAAAGTGTGAAATATGTATGCCATAAAGGGAAAGTGAGGAATATAACTGATAAAGTGCAAAATAATGGCCATAAACTATGGAATAGAGTGACGAATATAATCGTGCAAGTGCAATCTATGATAAACTATGCAACAGAAAGACAAAGTAAATTGGACAAGAACGAAATAATTGGGCAATTGTCAGTTACTTATGTTACAAAAATGTGAAGATAATCGAGCAAAGTGTGAATACATAGACATAAATGAGAAGTTAATTGAGAAACTGCAATATAAATATGCGATGAACGATGTGACACACGTACGAAGTTAATATTGAGCAAGTGCGAAAGAATATGTGATAAACTATGTGACAGAAAGTCAAATTTAATTAAGCAAGTGCGATAGCACAGGGGCATCTATACCCCAGAGACGCACCCTCCTTCCTGTGGACATTCCCCTCCGGCTTCGGACGCTCATTCGGATGGACCATCTAGGGTACCCGTCTTTCAGATCCGGTCGACCGCCACCACCTGTCCCTGACTAGATTTGACGTTTTGGACCCCATGTCAGGCCACTCTGACCAGGACGACCTTTTATGAGGATTTGATTTGTACTTTTTATTTTTTTATTTTTGATGTTGCCATATGTATTTTCGACTTTGATGTAGACCACTGATATTTTTAGCCCTCTATGGGCCCTTATATTCACAGGTCGGAGTGTAGCCTCAACCCCCCATCCCATTCTGGGATGTTTATATAAAAAAAAAAAAATAAAAATAAAAATTAAGCAAGTGCGAAATAAATATGCAAGGTTCACTGCACTTGACACATGTGGGTGTGGTTGAGCGAACTTGGCTGCAACGACATTTGCGATCATTTTGTTAAGCTCATCCCTGGTGAACGTTATGACTTGCTCGTCGGCTGCAACAGCCTCTCCTGCCATTGATGACCTCCTCTAACCGCACTAAGGTGGGTTTGGCTACAATCATGGTGTTAGAACAATCTCCAAGCCAAATCTTTCTTTTTGTTGAGCCATCGAACCACCAGTTGCTGCTACAGTCTGCAGAGAACCTCCAAAATCCGAGAGGTTGGGAATCAGGGTCATCGGCGTCTGAGCAGACATCTAAAAGCCTGGCGGTGGGTCTGCTCCAATCGGTCCACTGCTCTAGGTTCTTTCTGGGATTGTCGCTCACCATGGTAAATGGTGTTTGATGGCTTTTTGAACGAAGATTCCTCGAGCGGTGCCAAATGATAGTACAGAAAACCTCAACCGGAACTACATCCTTGATTCATCCATAAATCGGTGAAACTACCTACAAAACAACACTGACGGTTGTCCTGTCATAAAAGCTCCGACGTTTAAGTCAATATATGAGGAAGATATGTATACAATGTATGTAAGTATATAATGCTTATAATGTGCAGAGTTGAAATGCTTTATACTCCATACATGTCCGATCTGTTTACCCAAGTGCCCGAGCTGCCCGATCACACTTACTGGGTGCCCCAACTGACCAATTATGTTAGCTACATTATCCGCGTACCCTCCTTATTCTAATTATATTCGTATTTATCTATTTATCCTAGTGTGTTCACATTAGTCTACCTTAGTAGGTAGTTACTTTAAGTATAACTGTGTTATCAACTCAATTCCCTTTGAAGTGGATCATTCTTGTCTTCAAAGCATGCTTCCTAGGTCTTAAATCGACCTCTTCACTTTCAGGTCGAGTTTTCATCAAGCTAACCTAGAATCCTAACTCAGTCTG